TTTGTTTCTTAAATAAAGCCATACGTTTTGCAAAAAAACAGACGGGACTTTCCGATTGATCTAATATATCTCGGACCTTGTCGTCATAAACTTTTTCAGAACGTAATGCAAAATGCAATTCAGACATAAGCGAGCAAGGTGTCTCCCACAATTTTCATAATTCTCTGCGCGAGGTAACACAACGAAAGTTTCTTTATGCCCCGACGTAATTTTCTTCCCCGAGTAAATTCCTCCCCACCGGCTGCGGATTAAGCTTCCGCTGATAAACCGACTTCTCGTACGTGCATTCTTCCGCTTCTCGAGCGTAGAGGCTGCATGACTTACGCGCAGAACGAACCGGCGCGAGCGAGAGAAAAAAAAGAACGAGCGCGCGATACCCGCGCGCGGAAAATAGTAGGAATTAGTTATCAAAAGGCGCGCGCGAGAGTCTGCGAGAGGAGGAAGCGCCAGGAAGAAGTCCATTTTGGCGGGGGAGCTCGGCGAGAAAAGAAACGAGCCGGCGCAAAAGTCAGGACGCGAAGGTCCATTAATAACCGTCGATAGTTCGCCGCTGGAAACTGTCGGAGAAGTAATTGGAAAAGTTACAGGCGGAACGACAGTGCTTTTCCATTAATCTACATTAATACCGCGCGAGGTGTTGCAGTAGTTCGGCCGCGCCTGTTGCGTTTAGCGGAGGACAGCCTAAGGGTCCTGGTAAACACCCTCATAAGCAATTAAGCTGCTTAGAAACTCCGTCGCTCATTTATTATCTCTGTCCTTTCTAAGCAAGCTCGCGAGCACTGATAAACGACGTTCCGCGCTAAGAAGTCGTCGTCCTTCCAAGCAGCTCCTTAATTGCGCGTTAAGCATTCCGAAGTTCCGCTTAGGGCTTAGGTGCGCCGCGTTGCATCTTGGTGCTTCCGGGAGAATAATTATGATTCGAAACGAGATTTCGAAGAGCCCGACACACAAAGGCGCGGTGTTAGCCTACTTCCCGCGAAGCTCGAAGGAAGCTCCGGAGAATTAGTACCAAAGGGTCGGGAAAACTTGATGTGAAATTTTGGGGAGAGGAAGAAGATAATTCGTTTTACTTTGTAAGTATCGTTTCCCCGGAGCTTAGGTGTTCGTCCGAGGCGTCATGAAGGTTCTAACTCGCCTTCAAGATTCCTTTCAAGGGCTTTTAAAAAACGCTCCAATTTATAGATACTTCATATCTCCGAGTATTTGTGTAAATGCTCGTACTTTAGAGTACCCAAAGTTTCCCGGCACTTGAAGCTCGCGAAATTTACATCCTTAAGTACGAAGTGAGTATGAAGTTTTATCGGATGTTTCGCATCAGCTTGCGACTGACTCTCAATTCTGAGGCTGTTTGTGCACCCGAATGCTTAAAGTCGCGAATGTTCCGCATTTCGCTGTTTCGTGAAACGTGCAAATGTCCGAATATTCAATACCCACTGTCCATATCCTCAGATATGGAAACGTCTTGAATTCTCGTCTCGCGAGAGCAAGCAGAAGCTCCCACCGGACCTGACACACACACACACACACACACACACACACACACACACACACACACACATACGCACGCACGCACGCACGCATGCACACACAGCTACATCGATATCGAGATGTCTCAGAACCGCAAGGACTAGGCGAGGGACGTTGCGGTAAAGGGTTGATACAGGGCAGTCCGAAGTTTGCCGACAGCTGGGGGAAGACGAGGGATGACCGGCGGACAATAGGGTGCGTCGCCGATGACGAACTCGGCCTGCTTCCAATCCCCAGAGTCGCTCGGGGGTTGGCGGAACAGCCGCAAACAAGGGGGTGGGCGAGTCAGCATTTCCACCGGCGACCCCGCCGCCGTCGCCGTCACCGCCGCTGCCGCCGCCGCCGCCATCCTCTTTCACCCCTCCTCCCGTTATGTTCCAAACGGTTTACACATTCCCCGAGCGATGGGGTGCGAGAGGCGCGGGATATTTCTGCTTACGATTATACCGCGTGTTTCGCGATACTGGATATTCGACGTTTTGATAATACACCGCTACTTGTGTGAAAGGTGGTGAGAGGGGGCCGCTGTTTGAAGCTCGGAATATTTGCGCGGCATATTACGACAAGGGGCGATTTCCACCAAGTGGAAGGAACAATTATACCGGTTGTGTAGAAATGAGTTGCGCGGAATATCGCGGGATAATTATTGGAATTGTAGAATCGTGAGAGTTGATGCGTGCGTTTGCGTGAACTTTACGCGGACGCGGCATATTGCGAGTTAATTGTAGAAAACCATGTCGATTAATTAGTATTTTTTGAGAAATCATACCGGTGGAGTCGGATAGCTAGTGGGATGAAAAGAATACTCGAAGGATCTCCCACGAAGTATAATAATAATAATAATAAATAAATTTAATTAATAAATGGAATAATTAACAGATGAAATATTTTTTTTAAGAGAATTTCGTCACGGAAGAGCATCACCGTTCTTCCGGTCCACGTAAGAGTTTATTCGCTAAACCCGCGAGGCGAGACAGTGAAAATAATTGACGATAATTCAGACCGACAGCGTGAGAATAGCCGCACGTTTAAATTTCCTCGCAGACTTTGTCCCGCAAAAAAAAGGAGAAAGGTGAAACAGCTACAAGGGAAATCGTATTTTTTTTCTCTTTTTTTTTCGGTTCACGTATGTCTCGCTGCAGGCTGCAACGAAACATACGCGAAAAATGGCGGCGACAGCTGTCGACGTGCGAGTTTCGATGCCGTCGCAAAATTCTGTATCGTAAAACTCGGATATGAAGCGCGGTCCTCGCGGCGAAATTATTGCTGGGCGAAATCGTGAAACCGACAAATTTCATTACTCGTCGTTTTGTTGAATTTTTACAACGGTGATTATAACGAACACAGTATGCTAATGTGTACGCGAACGACAAACACAACGTGTAATTTACAACAGAGATTGTAATAAACAGGAAGGGAAAATGAGACGCGATTTTTATCAGAACCCCTAGAGCTTTTAAACTGCCGCAATTTTATTTCTGGTTGCTTCTACAACTAAAAAATGACCAAAAAACCAACGACGCTTTTACTATCAAAAATTGACTTTCAACTGATAAAAAAAATATATATATACATATATATTCATGAATTTCCGAAATCCTTTAACATTCTGCATGCAAAATCTGACGCGGAAAATTGAAAACGCCAATCATCCTCATAGAATAAGAGAGAGAGAGAAAGAGAGAGAGAGAAAGAGAGAGAGAGAGAGAGGGAAAGAGGAAAAAGGAGAGAACGAGCGAGGTGAAATTCGTCAAGTAGCTTTGGTAAATCTGCGATGCGCAATTTTTAAATAAAATTTCTCTCGCTAACAAAGAATCGCACGTTCAATAGCCCGAAACAATCAATAAAAGCCGCCCTTCGGAAACGAGCGCTGCGCTTGAGGTCGAAGGACTGGGATAGATTGGGGGCAAGGAAGAGAAGGGTAGGGCGGGAGGAGAGGTGGAGCGAGCTTCAAGAGTGCCATAATTTACGCTCCACTCGTTTCCTCCTCGTGTATACCTAACGTGTACGAATGAAGCATAAATTCACTCGCCATCGCTCCCTTGCTATACCTTATATTCGCGATCCACCACCGAGAGGAAACTTAGCGTTTAACCGCGTGAAAAGCGTTGCTGGATTTTCCGTTTTGGGAGATTTTAACAGCAGCTGACGTGAGTGTTTTTTCCAGAGCGGAAGTCAAAGCACGAAACATATGTCTTCAAATTATGAAGAGTATAAACGAAATACATTATAATAATGTACAATAATATACAATGGAAAACGTAGGTATAACCAAGGATAATAGTCAATAAACAAATATGTCATACACGAGACGAGTAAAACTGCTAGCGCGAAACCTTTTGGAGAAATTCGATATTTAATACTTCGAATTTAATACTTTGAAATTGAAAGAAAAAGAAGGACGATATAATCTCGAGCAAGGTATTTCTACAGATGTCTCGAGATTGTGAGGATAATCCTGAAACCCGCAGAGACACATTGTATCCTGGCGTTTCGTGAGCCAATAAAATTCTCGCTCGCTCTAATGAAATAACAAACGCGTTTCGAGCACGGCTCGATTCCTCGGGGGTGCGAAAGGAGGTTGCGGGCGTAGGGGAATGATCACGGGAGGGAAGGCGCGTCCCATAAAGCGACCCTTCAACCCCCCCCCTCCCTGCCCCTGCGAGTCCGTTCGTACCGAGATACAGCACGTACAGCTCCTTGTCCAAGCAACCGCTCGTTCCATCCTCTGCAAACTCCCTCTTCCGTTTTTCCTCCTTTTTTCATCCTTCGGGTCCGTTAGGTAGCGCAAAAGCCCGCTATTTATGAGCGATTCACCCGCGAAGCTGGAACATACAATTCCCACCGATATACCGTCACCCTCGCCTTTTTCGCCGCTTCTTCCTCGGATCGTTCCAATTTTTCTGCTCCATAACCTCTAACGAGTGCCGGCCTGAAGAGGGATCGTTTTTCATTGATAACCACTAGTGGCTTCGTTCGGTTTTCTTATTTTGTCGGCGCAATCGCGCGCGGAGGTACCGGAAGAGTAGTTCCACATCCTTGTCGGAGCGTGCAGAGAGGAACACATGTAAGCTGCTTTTGAACCGCTCGGTAGTCGTGCTTTCCGTCGATACCATTTGCTTGTGTCGAGTTCATTTTCTCGATACAAAGATCAGACTGAGAATCGATACGAAGAAACCGAAGCGTTGCTTTGAAATTTAAAGGGTAATGGCCGAGGAAATGAAGTTAGAGGGAAAGAAATCCGGAATGTACGTACGAGAGAGAGAGAGAGAGAGAGAGAGAGAGAGAGAGAGAGAGAGAGAGAGAGAGAGAGTCAGTGGCGTTTTCCCCGTAAGAAAATATCGTCTACGAAAAAACAAGATTCTCCGATATGCTCTTATATGGATAATTCATTATCGGTATCTGATAGATTCATCATATCATCGTTGCTAGTCTATAACGAGGTAAATCTGCAATTAATGGTAATTTTGCAGGAGCTGCGGCGGCGTCTCGAGTCTACGTCGACGCTTTGTCTCGATTAGCTCGTCAAGCTCAGCTGGGAACATGGGGCGGCTCCAAGGATGTGGGTGAGTGAAAAACTTGAAGTCGATCAATTCGTATCGCGCGGGGAGCACGAGCCATAACTCACGCAGGTCTGTCTCGCTAAACCCGGATAGGGAAATAATGATGAGAACCCGTTTATATTTACACCGTACATTTATATGATTTATGGCTCACCGGTGTTATTTAATATTTGCACTCTGACTTTGATTTCGGTGACGTTTCGAGCTGCCTCTTATCGCAACATGCAACGCGCCACTGGAACGCATTAAAAATAATTTTTTCCACTCCAGCCCGCCATCAGTTTCATTTCTCATCGCGTGTTCCGAATGTTTGTCCGACAGATATCTCCTCTCTTCTCATATTTTGTGTATTTTTTTACATCCTCTTTATATCTATTTTTATAACCTGCCGATTCTTGAAAAATATTCGAATGCCACTTGGAAAATATCCGGGCGCGTACAGTTATGTTTCATAACTTTTCCATCCGATCGAGTTTTCGGATCGTGCTCTTCGATTCGTTCCACGCAAACAAAAGCACAAATAAAATAGTTTCACGCTCTCTCGAGTGCCGGCCAAGTTTTGCATCGCTCTGGAATCAGGTGAGGCTTTTTCGAGGCTTCCAAAGCCAATAAAGCGCGTTTAACCGTCCCTAAGCTCGAAAGCCCCCGCCTTCCTGAGTCTCCCCGAGCTCCGACGAGCCGATGAGCGAAAGTTACTAACAAGATCATTGCAGCGTGATAAGTGTACGTATTAAGTACAGGTCGGTGACCTGCGCATGCGGAGCTTGCGAGCTCAGGAGCCTCTGAAAGCAGACTAAGGCGCGGTCTTAGGAAGCTTTCCAAGTGCCGACGACCGAGCAAACTTTTATTTGTTCTCGAGGGGAAAGCGGAATCCGATCAGGGATGGCTGGATTCTCGACCGGGATTTCGCAGCTTCCTCCAATTGATTATTACATCTTTCGTTTCTGATCCACGGTATTTTCCAAATAACGATCCTCCTTATTGCAGCCGTGCACGTACTTCAAATATCTCTTGTTTCTTCCGTTTACGTCAAATGTTCTCCAGAATCGGATCAATAGAAATAATAGGGGGGTTGCACGGGAGCGGGGGGGGGGTTGCGTTGGCGCGCGTGCGCGCGGTACGTCTTTTTATCGTCACTTAACTCGCTACTTGTGCAATTAAATCGCTCGTTGTCGGTCGGTCGGTCCTCCTCGAGTCTCGCGCAACGATATTTGACAGCGGATTAATTGGAGTTATCTTTTGCGCGCCGCTGACGAGACCGACTGATTTTCGGGGAACAGTTCGCGCGCGGTCGGCCGATCGGCCTGCGGAGGAATCATTTTTAGCGGGAAAATTTCCGGTGAATTGTGCCGCGCGATAATAATAATGCATTAGCATGCACGCGGCTCGCATCGCGCAGTATCGTCGATGCGGAAACGGGAGATTCAATTAATCGAATTAATAAATTCATCGATCGAGTTATTTGCGACTCGGCCGCGCACTACGAAAATGCCCGTGGCCCCCGCTGTTTCGAGCATAATTAATTAGCGCTCCGCCGAATTAGCTATTTTATTTTACAAATAACGCCCGACCCGGGCGCGCGGAGATGTTGTTTATCGCGTTCGCGCAGTCTGTTGCAATTTGTTATTTAATTGCTCGGATGTTTCCGTCGCGTCATTAATTATTTTATTCCTCGGGTCTTCTTCGATTCTCCATCCGACGCGGCTGACACGTGATATTAATTTCCACATTTTGCCAGGACGATAATAAAGTTTCCTTCACGTTAGAAATGTGAAATCTTTTAAAGAAATGATGTTAACGTAAATTAAACGGAAATTACCAGTCGCGATATGTAACGTGGAATAATAAAAAGGTAAATAAATATCGCGGTTTATCGGAATAACATAAAATGTCAAGTAAACATTGCACATTTAAAATTACAACAAATTTACATAAAGCCGTTAATAATCGGGTGTAAAATTATCAGGTGTAATTTTCAATAGTCCATTTACATAATTAATATAATTCACACGAAATGTTAATATTCATTTCAGTATGTTATCGTTATGTATATAAGTTATATACATATATACATATATAAATACATGTAAATAAATGTAATCAAAATCGATGAATCGTCTCACGATTAAATTTGTATAATCATCAAACTACTGTACTATAAATTTATCGTAGGTAACAATTAGCTAATTCAACGATTTCAACGATTATTAAAATATCATGATTATTACATAAAGTATACGAGCGTGCAATTGAAAATTCATTGTTTCAATTCTCGCATCTTTTTCCTTCCGCCTGACACACGAATATGCACCACTCAGCATCGTTGAATTGTTCGGCGATTAAATTTATAATCGAGGAATTTACATGTTGTACAAATTTAATCGCGATACAATCCAACGATTATACACGTTCGTTGAAAAAGTACAACAATTTTTTACGCCACATACGAAATATGAAACAACACGTTGGGATTAAAACAGCGGCGATTATTAACGCGATGACTCAATACGAATCATGAGGAGATTAAAAGCATCAAATTTATCGCTATAAGATTAATCGCCGCATTTTTCGACGTCGCGGGGCAGAATCGCGGATTAAAATTCCACGGCGGCGGCAGCGGCGGCGGCGAATCGCAACGACGGCAGCGGCGCCGTCGGCCGTGTAAACGCGCTTTAATAATAATGTAAACGCGCAACGAATAGGAATTAACGCACGCTCGCATCGCCGTGAAACAAGAGAGAGAGAGAGAGAGAGAGAGAGGGAGAGGGAGGGAAGAGAAGAGGGCGGAGGGAGAGGGATATAGACGACCACTGAAATCCGCCCCTAAATTTCGGCTGCGCTCATGAGAGCGAGAGAAGCAGGTAGATAGAGAGAGAGACTGCTGGTAACACGCATAATTGCATAAAATTACGCGGTCCTGTATTATCGGCGTCGCTTTAAATGGGCGCCGATTAACGGGCGACCTTGGCCAGCTGAAATTCGCGAAATTTTGCTAGTGTACACCTGCTTCCTTGTTTCCGCATGCACAGATATCTCTTCAGACTTCTTGATATTTTTTTCCCGAATGCGTTAATGTGCGTATGTGTATGTGTGTGTGACGATCCTGTTACGACGCACACGTTAAAAAGAGCCGGTACGCTTTACGCTTTTAATTATCGGCCTTATCTTTTCCTTGATGCGTACAGTCCGCGTTAGAAAGGATGATTGGACGAATGCGCGTGACGTGCGCGACTCGAGAAAATCAATTTGCAAAGGATGAGCAAAGGATGATTTCGGGATCGCGCTCGATGATGCGTGCGTAAGAGTCGCGGATTTCAATTCACGGCGAGCATTATCCAGCAGCTTGGCTTCTCACACTTATTATCCGCGCTTTTCGCGCACCGGCTGTCGGGAGGGCCGTTCTTCGTGCAACTTTAATTCCGCGCCGGAAGTCTTCGCGCTCGCCATGAGCGGCGGCGACGAGTGCTTCGCAAACAGCGAGTCGAACAAACATCTCGTTAAACGCCTTCTTATCCTCTCCGCATGTCTTGACGATTATACACGTCGCATGTTTCTCTCTCTCTCTCTCTCTCTCTCTCTCTCTCTCTCTCGCGTAACGGGGTATTTCTCCCGGTGCCCGGCAGAGTTTTCGGTCCTCTAATTGGAGCGCGATGTGTACGTCCAAAATGAAATGTCAAAGGGATTAAAGATCGCGGTGAAGCGCGCGGAAGCCTCGTTCGCGCGTGCCGCGAGTGTATGCACGGAGGAGAAGTAACGCGTTGAATTTTTCAGGGAACTTGTGCCGCGCGCGAAGCGCGTTTAGAAACATGCATCTCTGAGTTGTCGCGTTCCGTCGGAAATTTTGAGACTTCCACTCGCCGCGCGAGCGCGCGCGCGCAAGATCTCTGCAGACGGCGCGAGGAAATCAGCGCGGAAACGCATCGGTCTCGATCTTCACGCCGATTACGTCGATGGATATATTCGCGCAGGAAGCACGGCCGACACTCGGGGGAATCTGTTTTCCGTTACTCTCCTTCTGCCCGCCTACGCGGGCCACCTTTGCCACCCCTCCTTTCCAAACCGCCCTCTTATTCAGCCGCGAAAGGGTGTCGCGAAAATTCGCGGCTTACGATGTTAGCGCGAGGCGAAATGAAAATGCGACAGCGAAATTGCCAATATCACGTCACCCCAGATTTCCCTCGCTGTCGTCTATTTTCCCTCCCGTCCCCCTTCTCACCCCCGACCCGTCTCGTTGTACGACAGCGGAAGATCGAGGGGGGTTCCGGTCGAGTTTTCCTTCTCGTCCGGAAGTTGGTCGGACGACGGCGGCGACGAGGACCGAGAGAGGAAATTTCACAGCGCAAAATCCTCATCAGACATAATTTCGCCTTGATAATTACATTCCGCGATGTTTCACGATGTAAATTGAAAAGCGATGTTTCGACGTCGGTCCTGGAATATTTACGATATTTATCGCTCGCGTTGTTTCAAGGACAATTCTCTGTCGGCTCGCTCGGCAGTGCAAATAGGTTCCCTTCGAATTGATCCTATTACGTTTCACTTTGCCGGTCGCTGCGATCCGACGAGTAGCGCGACCTCGCGTTTAGTCGGCCGCAGCTGGCAGTAGATACGTCGCGTGTCGGCCGGACAAACTCGCGACGGACATGTGGGGTTTTATGAAATAATACCAGGGGCTGCTTCTCGGTGGAAGAATCGAAGAGAAACGGGTTTACGAGGATTCATAAATCAGTAGCTCTTTAAGCCATATTAATCAGATAAATCGGGGAATAAATTTCTCGGGAGACGACATTACGCAAAATAAAAAAATCTAATCAATCAGCTCAAACACTTACGTTACATATTATTATTAACAGCATGTAAATAGCGTCGTATATATGAGTATTTCGATTTGCAAATTAATAATAATTAATAATAAATAATAATAAAATTAATAAATAAGAGAAGAGGACATGCAAAAAATTTTCTCTTTATCTTAACAAATTAGAACTTTTTTAAATTGGTTT